TATGTGTACATTTTCCTTTGAACTATAGTTTTCCGTTAATCTAATACACTTTTTTCCAGTTTAGGATTTAGAGAGCTTTTTGGCTTCTGCAAAATGGTTATAGAATTATATAATGTGCCCTGTATCTTCACTAGAAATATGAATAGTGTGTTATGCTGAATTTAATTCAGCTAAGTGAAGGAAGGCTTATTACGAAAAATTGTTGTTACATGCTGGGAAGAAGCTGTTTGGCAAGATATCCAATAATTGAGTACACAAGGTTTTCTGTTTATATTAGCTTAGAGATTTTTCTAGCATGTTTCATCACCTCAATTTTCTAGTTTAACTAAATCTGAGCACAAGCCAGACAAAACTGTGTGGAACTCCAAGTAGTTAAGTAATTGTAAGCAGCTTTTTCTTAAAACTATCATTTCTCATTTGAGATGAATCAACATATAGTATAATGATGTGAGTGGAAGATCAAGTTTCATAGCTGATCATAGTCAGCCATGGCACTGAAGGGATTACAGAGATAAAATTATAGGGATATACTGTAGACATCTTGACTTCCTGAAGAATATGTGATGTATAAATAAAAATGCTATACATATGGAGGAACAATATTGAACTCAGTGGCCTTTTAATTAAACACAGCACAGAATTACCTTATCAGAAAAGGTGTATTGATTGATTGATTATTTATTTATTTATTATATTTTTATCCTTTATATTTTTATAAAAAACTCTAGTGAACATGTAACATTCCTCTTATTCAACAAGAGGATAAATCTTTTGTTGATTTATACAAAGATGGATGGATGTTTTGCATGATATATTTGAATGCTTGTTACCTTATGAAAGGGTATGTGTTGTGAAATTCAGAAAGGTCAATTGAGATGTAATTATTTTTAATTTGAGAAGGGCAGAATATGGTATATTTCACATCACAATTAGGTAAGAGATTCAGTTGAGATCTTTTGATCAAGTACATGAGATTTTTGTTCATTTCAAATTTTGTATTTCATGCAAAACCAGTTTTTAAGAAAATTTCAGTTGGTATTTATTTATCCATCCATCCATCCATCCATTATTATGTTTTATAAATAAGGCAAAGAACATTGTCATAATGTAATAAGGTGTAATAAGACATTTGTGTATACCAGTGATGATGAAACTTTTGGGCTCAGTGTGTCAAAAATTCAAAAAATGCCTGACTTTGTTCAAATATCACAAAGGGGGGGGAGGTGTTCGGGTGCCTATGGAATGCTTGGGGACGGAGTGTTTTGCCTGGCTGGGTCACTCGGCCTCCTGTTCCGGAGCTGTGGGTGCTGGAAGAAGTACGTTGGGGGCCATGTGAGCTTCTGCTGCACATGGTTGCTGGTGCCGCTGTGAGGCAGTTATTGAGGCATGGAGCCATGGGGCCCTGAGTTAAACTGATGTGTGCATTGGGCAGCTCCACCCCCCACACCCCACGGCGGTGGCACTTAAAAAAATTAAGATACCCCTGGAAATAAGCCCTAGTGCTTATTTTGGGACCCAAAAGAAAATAAGACTGAGTCTTATTTTCAGGGAAACACAGTATATAATCTAGATCTGTCAACGTTGCATAATTCTTTTATTGAAGGTCTGTTATAAACTGGAAAATTATGTAGCAGAAAATGAAGTGAAATTAAGAGCAACTTTATCCAGCTTATATGGGCTGGGTATGCTTTCATGTTTAGCAGTCATATCATCTCATAATCATGAACATGAAAATCCTAATATTTTTATTCTCTGTTGAATGCCACTTTTCATGTTATTAAACAAGGGCTATCTATACATGATTCAAGGCACTACAGCCTTAGGGATCACCAAAGTGTATATAAGGAGTTTGCCTTAATGTTTTTAGGTAAAATCACAAATAAGTTTCCAGAATTACTTTAATTCTGTTGCAAGTACAACTCCATCTATATGAATTTAAGCAGGTTTTTTTTCCTGTGATTGATTTATCTCGATATCCAGAAGTTTAAAATACACATCCAGTCAGTTGATAAATAATCTGTATATGAATGTAAAAGCTCAGAAAAACTAATTTTACCTGTGTGCGGTAATCAAAAAAGTATCAGCCTCTGCTTTCAAAATAAGCATCAATAAAAATGTCACTCCCAATGAAAATGTATGAATAGGTTTCATTGAAAAATATATGCGAGCAGATAAGAAACATTTAACTATGTGGTTATATTTTATGATTATATTTCATTCAGGAATTCAGTTATGAAGTAATAAATGTGCCTAGATGAATTCATCTGTTAGAACTGGGGCTAAGTGTATGGCAGTTCTTGTCTAAATGGGTTTCACTGTTCTGACCTTCAGTGTGTTGAGATATATGAACATGGACCATTTCTGAAATTGATTTGCTCTCCTATTTCCAAAATATGTATATGTTAAATTTCCAGAATAAGAACGTAAGAGCTTGGCTGGATCAGGGTCCATTTAGTCCAGCATCATGTTTTCAACAGTGGCCAGACAGATGCTTCCTGGAAATCCATGAGCAAGACATGAAGGTAAAAGTCTTACCTTTTGTGCTTGTTCTGGAGCTCTAGGTATCATTTCTTAATGCAGATTCTATGCCAGCCCAGAACTAGTAAAGCCGGATGCTTGTATTAGTGGAATTTCCACTCTCTGTGAATATAATTTACTGTTAGTTCTTGAAATAGCTTGCGTTGCCGTGAAATAAATCCTGACTTCAAGCCCACCATGTTGGAAGTATGAAAATGTACATTTCAAGAAGGTACTGCAGCCACTTAACTCATTCCATCTATTCTTCTAGCATTGCTTTTTATTGTCTTATTAAAAATATCCTTGCTAACTCTAGCACTTTCTTGCTAAAATTGTCCCTTTCCCCAAATCATGTTTCTTAGTTTTCCTTGTTATATTTTAATCCAGGTTAAGATTATTTTGATTGAGCTTTGTAAATTAAAGTTGTGTTTTGGTTTAGTTACTGAAATTGATTTATTATGAGATATTAATGTTGTTGGAACTCTTATTAGGATTGTGAGATGTGATTAATAGTATAAAAAAGTAGTAATATTTTTTATCGTTACAATTAGAGGCAATATAATAGCACAGTTTTGTTCAGGAACAGTTGTATTAAATGAGCAGAGTTTGAATCTATTCATCAATTATAATGTTTAATGAACAAATACATAAAATTAAATATATTAAGAAAATCCAGAACTATTTATACATTATTATTTTTTAAATTTGATTTATATGCCGCCCTTCTCCGGAGACTCAGGGCGGCTTACAATGCGTTAAGCAATAGCCTTCATTCTCTTTTGTATATTTTATACAAAGTCAGCTTATTGCCCCCACAAACTGGGTCCTCATTTCACCTACCTTAGAAAGGATGGAAGGCTGAGTCAGCCTTGAGCCTTGGAGAGATTCGAACCAGCAGAAATTGCAGGCAGCTGTGTTAATAACAGGGTGCACTAAACCACTGTACTATCAAGGCTCTTTGAACAATCAAGAATCGTATGTATATATACAAAATAATGTTTTTAAAAATCTGATAATATTGCACATATATTTTTAAACCTAAGTAATATTCTAGAATAAAGTTCTGGATTTAACAATTAACTGGCCAGCCTTTCCTTACACTTAAAGAAAATCTATTTGAAACAACTCATAAGTGCTTGGAGAGTAAAGAGCTTAAGCAGTATAATACTATTGCAGAGTACAGAGTTGCCATAGAAATGTCTTGTATATAAATTGGTCTATCTATTTGGCAATTAAACTGCTTTATAGTCCAGGTTTGTTTTAAAAAAGGTGAAATCTGTTTGTCTATCGTATCTGTGAGGTCAAGTCAATAATTTATTCAACAAAAACTAAAGAGGCATGTGTATTTTTAATGCTGTACAAATATCTAAGAGACCAAAAATAATGGAAGCAAATTATTATTGTTTAAAAAGTCAGTAAAGTTTGCATAATCAAGTAAACTCAGAGGCTTCCTTGGATATTTTTATTGGACTTCTTGGATATATTGTGAGATGTCAAATAATATATACACTTCTTTATTGAACTTATACAGGGATTGAAAGACAAAGGGACAAACATTAAAATCTTTAATATTCTAATTGTGGCATGCTTCAAGTGCTATGGCCACCTATATGTGCTTTTAAGAAGCACTTGAAACTATTAACGAGTATTGTTGTAATTCTATTAGAATCCCTAGTATTTTCTTGTTGATATGAATTAATTTCATAAAATTAGATATTTCCAAAAATGGAAATTCCTGAAAACAAAATAGCATGCCATGTTTCTGATCATCCTCCAACAAATCCATTCTCTAGTTTTGTCTTGATCCTGGATCAGAAGAAATGTTAGAATTATGCTGTGGATAGCTAACTACCATGTTTTTCAGAGTATAAGATGCACCTTCCCCCCCCCCAAAAGAGGCTGAAAATTTGGGTGTGTCTTATATTCCGAATGTAGCTTTTTCGAAGATTTTTTCAGCCCTAATGAGGCGCTAACGAGGCACTAGCGAGTGATCTTCCCAGTTTTGCCTTCTTCCTCGATTCTCCACTGTGCTTTGAGGCACTAGCGAGTGAAGCGATCTCCATGTTTTGCTCCGATTCTCAGCTGTTCTTTAGAAGCTTTTTTTCAGACATAACTAGGCGGTAGCTGAGTGAAGCGATCTCCCCCGTGCTTTGCCTGTTTTTCTCATTGCTGCTTCCTCTCAGCTGTGATTTAGAAGCTGTTTTTTTATCCCCAAGCAAGGGATAAAAAACCAGCAAACTGATGTGCTGAAGCTGACCAGACTAAGGATCCTAGCCAGATGAATACCTGGTAGGCAGATTTTTTTTTTCTATTTTCCTCCCCAAAAACTAAGCTGTGTCTTCTACTCCGGTGCGTCTTATACTCCGAAAAATACAGTAGTCAAAAAAAATTGAAGCCATTTTTTGGCAACTTGAACTTATTTAGCCATACAATTATTGTTCAAACTATAAACTCAATCTTTTTTTTTTCTTTTCCCCCCTCAGTGTGCAAAGATCCACCGTACAAAGTTGAAGAATCTGGATATGCTGGGTTTATTTTGCCAATAGAGGTTTACTTCAAGAACAAGGTACGTAATGCTGTTCTTTCAATTTCTCTACACATACCCATTAAGTTCTTTAGATTTCTCCTTTAAATTATCAATAACTTAATAAATGTCAATATAAAATCTGTTGATAAAATTTCATTTGTCATAGATTTCATAAACCCTTTTCAGTCCTTGAAATATGTCTGGAAAATCCAAATGAAGGGTCTGCCGATGGAATGGCATAAATCCAAGAAGCAGATTTTCTATCTCCCTTGCAGCCCCTTGCTATTCTTGCAAAATAGTGAGTTGTGAGATGCTGCCTAACAGATATTCAAGAACAGATGGAGAAGTTTTGTTGTTTAAAAAAACCACTAATGCAACATTAGATGCTATCCAATAGATAAGGAAATTGAATTCATTGTAGATACTGATTCAGTCTTAATGGAAGTGATTAACTTTCAGAATATATTTTGAATATTGATAGAGATTTATAATTGAATAAAATTATCATATAGATGAGTTCAAACCTTTAACACACTACTTTTTAAGAGATAATTTATTTTTTATAATTAACTTACTTTTGTGTTAAAGTTGTTCTGAATAAATACTTTAAGTTCTTAACTGTTATTTCAGAAGAAAAAAAATTACCTGCTTATATTGTGTCAATAAACCAAGAGATACACAGAAACATACCATATTTTTCAGAGTACTGTATAAGACGCACCTTTCCCTTCCCCTAAAAGACTGAATACGGGCCCATTTTTGGGCTCTCGAACCTTTTGGGCATCGCTTTTTTGCCCTCCCTGGCCCCCAGAAACACGCTGCAGTGCTCCGCACAGCCTGTTTTTGCCAAAAATGGGTCCGTTTTTGGACTCCCGAACCTTCCGTGCATCACGATTTCACCCTCCCCAACCCCCAGAAGCACTCTTCAATGCTTTGCATGGCCCATTTTTGCCAAAAACGGCCCTGGTTTTGGACTCCCAAATTCTCTGCACATCATGTTTTCGCCCTCCCTGGCCCCCAGAAGCACTCTGCAGGCCAAAAATGGGCCTGTTTTTGGCCTGCAAAGTGCTTCTGGGGGCCAGGGAGGCTGAAAACGCAACGCATGGAGGCAAAAACTATTTTTTTTTTCTTCCTCTAAATCTAGGTGCGTTTTATAGTCCGGAGTGTCTTATAGTCTGAAAAATGCGGTATATACCTAAAACAGCTAATACAGCTAGTTAGGATGTTTTAATTAGCTTCATTAATGTCATTTTTATACAGGGTATTTATGTTTATTTAAGAGTCTTTTGGTCAAACTGCCTTCTGCTCATGTGATGTTGGGTTTCTTCTGAAATGGGAAGGAATTTGTAAGGTGAGAGATGGAGATTATATTTTAGAAGAATAAGACAGATAATGCTTTGTAAAAGAAGGAGGCTGCTCTTTGTGGTATTTAAAATGTAAAATGTAAAACTAGTACAGTTTAGTATAGTTTAGAGGAAATTGAGGATTTGAAGTTATATCTACCATCTGTTGTTTTGGCCAAGCTCCTTCATTTTACCCTAAATATATTTCACTCACTGGAAAATAACGAATGTCACTGGGAATAAAAGTGAGTTTATTCTTTTAATTCAATTCTACTGTTTTGAAAATAAGCTTTTTAATGTGGTGGTGTGACTTTTAATATTTCATTGGATAAAGTAGAATCAAATCATAGCCAGTAGCCATCCTTAAAATAATTGGCTTTGGCCAATAGATATTTTGAGTATCTAGAAATTTCTTAAAACACCCAAACTTCTGACTTTCAGAATAGGAATATTATTTTTTTCCAAGAGACTGGAATATATTTTCTACTTTTATAAATAGAATGGAAAGAATTACTTTTGACAAACACAGTCTAAATTCCCATTATATCTATATAAACATTAAATGGCAATGTATTACTCTTATAAATCTTTCAGTACCATTTACTGGAAAATGAGAGTGGGAAACTGAGCTCTTACGGCATGCTTATGCTTCTTATGAAAATACTACATGAATCCTAGTTGTGATTCATTATGTAATCCTGGTCCACACATCATTATTTTACCCTTTAACAAAGCTGCTGGCCATTCTGAACTGAATAGAGCACTGATAGTTAGCTGTTACTTATGCCATGTGCAAGAAGTTCAGAACAGAGTAGTTTTGTGGAGTTTGCTCAATTGATTTCAAATATATTTTGTTCATGTTCGGTCCTATCCATGTTGATTTTTATGTAGAAAAGATGAGTCCTTTTGGTTGTAACAGTGAACTTAAAATATTGTATTCTATATTACATTATATGTTACTCATACTTTAGATTTTGCTTGGAAATAAGCGTTCTTTTATGACTGTCACTTTCAACTTATATTTCTTGGCAGTCAGAATTTAGCCAGTCTCAGGTGTAAAAACTCCAAAATCCTGCTGAATATGGATTTGCTTCAGGATGAAGTCTTCCTTGTACAGCAGTTGTCCTCTTCTGGCTCTCTAGCAATTACTATGCTATATATACAGCACAATAGTAATTTAATTCTTTTTCTTATTATATAAACTGTATTATGGTTGTCCAATAACATAGAGGTGGTCCTTTCTTAGAGAATTTGCTAAACGAATAGATTTCTTGTCAAGCAATAATAGTATAGCTTGTATAACCATTCATTTCTATCTTGAAATAGCTGAGGTAATAATTAAACTTTTTACAGTATATGTAATAAAACCTTTCATAGACAAAGAGGAAGAATTTTCACTGAGATGCAGTGGTGGACATCAGTTTAAAATCATTTAGGCACACAGAGTTTTGTACACATTTCTTCTGGCTTTAACGTTAGGGAATTAAACACAGTTTGATTTAAGGCTGCTATTTTGTGCACATTTCAGCTTAATCTAGTGGAAATTACTTCTGAGCAAATATGTTTAAGCTTATGATGCTTAAAGTGTTAAATATTTGGGCTCCAGTCAGGATTGCTGACTAAATTCCTACTGTTGTAATTGACTACCAGATAAGTTTTGGTTAGTTTTTTTTTTTTTTAATTTGATTTATATGCCGCCCTTCTCCGAAGACTCAGGGCGGCTTACAATGTGCTCAGCAATAGCCTTCATCCTTTTGTATATTTATACAAAGTCAGCTTATTGCCCCCACAAACTGGGTCCTCATTTCACCTACCTTAGAAAGGATGGAAGGCTGAGTCAACCTTGAGCCTTGGCGAGATTCGAACCCTGCAGTAATTGCAGGCAGCTGGTCTTAATAAGCTTAATAACAGGGTGCCTTAAACCCCTGTACTACCAAGGCTCTTTAAACTAAACTAAACTTTATTTTAAATTTTGTCTAGTTTAATTTAGGCACTGATTACTAGGTAATTCTGGTAAATCACTGTCTTTTAGCCTTGATTCTTTGTTTTTAAAATAGAGGAAATTGATTTTTACACTATTACTTTAAATTTATATGTGATCATAAATACTTCTATTTCACTCTTTAATTTACCTGTTTCCAACCCAAGACTCAGGTAATATCATCAAGCAGTAGTTGAAAGTATTTGTGATGTTAGTAATAAAGAAAAAAAAGCATTTGACTTGCTACATGGTTGTCATTATTAATTAGGAATTCTTGGTTGATCTTAATAACTGCAATAAACTATAGGGAAAAAAAGAACTAAAAAGAGCCTTATATACTTTAAGGCTTTGTCCATAATAATTAGCACCTGGATTTTTTTTTATGGATAATCAGTGCCAATTTGGCAATACAAGGATATAAATTCCCTAATTAATTAATTAATATGTTTATGGTAGGCATCAGTACAATATCTATCAAAGTTTAATGCAATACATCTACAGTGTAAAAAAATGGTTGAAGAAATGCTGTGTGAGTGACTGACACAAAATCAACTGTAATTTTGGAAGTTTGATTTGATCAGAATCAAAATAGCCTTTTCTTTCTCAATAATTTAAAAATCCTATTTTTTTTAGTGAGTCCCAGGTCACTCAATCTGGGAAGTCCCAAGCCCAAATGTCTATTCACTTTTTAAAAATCAATTACCACAATATTTTATGAGGAAATGAATGTAATCTATAGTATTGGGATAAAAGCCAGCATGTAGGTCTACAGCTTGAGGAGGGAGTTGGACTAGATGACCTGCAAGGTCCCTTCCAACTCTGTTATTCTATTCTAATTTATGTCATACAGTGTCAGGTTTTTCCCTCCAGTTTTTTCTGACTGTGTTCTAACCTGTAGGAAGAACCGAAGAAAGTCCGCTTTGACTATGATCTGTTCCTGCATCTGGAAGGACACCCACCTGTAAACCATCTTCGCTGTGAAAAGCTTACTTTCAACAACCCAACAGAGGAGTTTAGAAGAAAGCTGCTTAAAGCTGGCGGGGTGAGTTTATATAAAAACAAACATCAAATCATGAAGTAGATTCTAAGCACAGTGAAAGTTGTTTCCCTCCCTCCATAGCAAAATCTCTCAAGTTGAAAAGCAGCTCTTTTTTTTTTTTTTTTGCACATATGAACTTGATCACATAAACTAGGTACCTGAGGTACAACATTAAGCCAATGACACCAAATAAAAGTGAAATAGTAGCAGAGATGCAAATATTACATACCAGGATAAAACCAATACTGCAAAAAAAAGACTCAGATCTCTGCTCCCTAAAGGAGCTCGGGAACCTAGTTTTCAATGTTCAGGTGATTGAATACACATGTGAAAGAAAAACCACTTTATTAAGAACCTTTACAGGGAGTCAAGTTGAGAGTTAAATACGGACTGCTTTAAAAGCATCTTCAAATTAATATTTCTTCCATTTTTCTTGTGTTTAACCCACACAGTAATTGAAACAGTAAGGTTGGGTTTATAAAAACAGATCTGCTTCTTTGAGGAAAAAAGAGGAATTTTTTTTTGTTAAGAAATTCAAAGCTCATTCACTTCAGAATACCAGATTCAGTGTTAATAATTGATATGTGGCTTCCCTCACCCCCAAAAATCCTTTGAAAGATTACTTTATGTTTTATTGCTTACTGTGCATAACAATCTATTAAAGAATTTCCTCCAGCAGAGTAATTTTGAGGTGGTGTTAGCATCTTTTATTGAAAATTTCTGCAAAATATGAAATGAAACTTACATTCTGACTTTTAAATATTTGTGTAAAAACTTAGTAAAGCCCAGTTTCTTTCTGCTAACATTGCAGACACATTTGTTTAAAGTGTAAATTTCATTTGAATTCATAGTTTTCAGCTTAATTTTTGAATATAATTTAGGTTAATGAAGCATATAGGACCATGCTGGCGAATCTATGGCATGTGTGCTAGAGGTGGCACGCAGAGCTCTCTCTGTGGGCACGTGCGCTGTCGTCAGCTGCTCTTTTGGGTTCTGTCATGCGCATGCACACCGGACAGCTGCTCTCTTTCTGGTTCTGTCACATGCATGCTTACATGAAACTAACCCACAAAATTGCTGTATTGGTAATTGCCATACCACAGCCTAGCACAGTGACGGCTAACCTTTTTGGCACCGAGCGCCGGAACCCAGAAGAGAGCAGCTGGCTGATGCTCATGTGTGTGGCGGCCAGATCCTCTTCCGGGTTCCATCGCACGTATGTGCGCCAGCCAGCTGGTCCAAGGTGTATGCGCACCAGCCAGCTGCTCTCTTCCGGATTCCAGCGCTTGGTGCCAAAAAGGTGAGCTGTCACTGATATAGGATATTTTATTCATATAAAATACTTGGCACACACATTCACCAAGAAATTCATACTTTTTTGCAGAATAATCTGCAATTAGATCTACTTTCGTCATGGTGCAAGATGACTATAATTTGATCAATTACTTTATTTTGTTCCTGAGCATTCACAAAAGTAAACTTAGAATAAGCCATGAAACTACAAACAAATCTTACAAACACACACATCCTATTCATATATCATGCTAAATTGAAATAGGCAAATCACATTATGCCTTTACATGATATGTATTCTCAATTGGCTTTTAGTTTTACAAGCCAAAAAGAGCAACAGTATCCGGACTGCCCAAAAAATGATTATAAATCTTTAGAAAAGTTGTCTGTTTACCTCACATGACCATTGTTTTCCTGGTTAGAATCTTGTTATTTATACATGTCAGTGAATCACATTGATCAGGGTAAGGATAATCTGGCCATGATATCTGCCATCATTGTTTTAATGTGTGTCTCTAATACCACCCTGAGACTAGAGACAGGTCTCATGAAAGTAGAGGTTAAGAGTATGGGTAACCATGCTCAACTGCTGTCTTGCATTAACCTTTTCTGCCCTTAACCTTGTCTCACTAACTATGAGTAATGATTATCAGTCCACATGGAAAAAGACAGTGTAACAAAAAAATCTCATCCTTGGACTTCTCTTCAGATGTTTTGCTCAGCATGGGATACAATTAGGCCAAAGCACTAATTAAACAATGTACAGCAGACACAGAGCACCAATATAATTTAGCTATATCCCCAAGTTTTATTGCTAATGAACCCAACAGGTACTCTCTCTCTCCCCCCCCCATTTAACTTGAAGTACCTAATTGCTGGAGTGCCTTTACTCTGGCATGATGTCATGCCCTCCCCTCAATTGAACTATCCTGATACAGGAAGGCCCCCTACCTGGGGAGACAGTGTATCTGTAACTCTGGACATGCAGAAACAACAGAACATGTTCTTCTCCATTGCTTATACTACAGAGACATTTGTCTTAGCCTCGTCTCACCATTACTGTGTAAATATCCAGGGAGCATAGGACAATTTTACTTCTCCCTGCTGCTTTGAGACACCAGCCCTGATAACACACAGTGTTGCCAGGTTCTACATGGCAGCACTGAAAATCCATCAGAAGATAACCTGTGGCATAAGCCAGTTTTAATGAGCATCTACTTCATTATTCTAGAATGATTTGTATTGTAATAGATTTAAATTGCCATTCTTCTCTATGCCTATCTATTTTTCCTATCCCCCCTTTTTAGATCTTTTTAAAAGATTCCTTTTAGAATTTCATGTGTTTTTAAAGCTTTTTACTGTAATTTTTTAAAAATCCTGATGTATCTTTTATGTTTTTAAATCCTTTGTACTCCATTCTGCTCTGGTCTTTGACCATAATAAAGTTTTGATTGATATGTTTAATGCTTATTTCTATTCCCAACAAAAAGAATGATTATTTACCTGGAACTGCAGTTTTTCATTTGATCATTTTTGAATTCAAACAATTTCCCTCCTAGGGAACTTGGTTTCAAGTGAACTCTGGGCTGTCTAGGTTGGTCTTCAGAATCTTAAGTGATTCAACAGATGGTACATCTGACTTCATTGAATACATAATATGAACATTCCAAAGACAGCCTGCATAGGTGCATAAACCATGTAAAATATATGTATTGTCTAAATGTGGTGGCAAAATAGATGAATTTAGGCTATTCAGTTTTTTCCGGATGCTTTTTTAAAAAAAATAAAATCAATGGAACAGAAAGCATTGGTATACACAGAAAACTGATTATGTGAAAATGAATATAAATGCCCTTACCAGAAAGCAAATCACTTCATTCCCCAAACAGTCCTATTTATCATTCTTTTCCTAGCCTATTTTGGCCTGGCTCCACTGTGGTTAAGTATTGGTATGGAAGTGGAAGGAATCTAGAAAACTGCTTCCAGTCCTATAAAACTCTCCAACGTCCTCGTTTTGAGAGGATCTAAGGATGAAAATAGGAGTGTCTTGCTTCCCTAAAGATTCTCTGACCCATTTCTCCTTAAAATTGAGATAAATCCACACATATGCATACAAAACAGTTCTGCTCCTTCTCAGAACATTACCAGAACGCTTAAGTTTATGCAGCTTTTCAAAAGTTTGGGAGGCTGAATTGCAACCCCTAACCCTTCAAACATTGCTACCTGTGGTGTAAGGGAAACACCTCCAGAATGAATTCATCAAGCTTATAATTTTTATTCATGTTATTTCTTTATATACTATATTAATTTTTATGAGCTTCTAAAGCCACTGTTGAAGATACTTTCATTGCTTCAATCTGTCATTTCTATTCTGGTGACAGCCATGTGACATTAATAAAATAGTTGTCGTACAACCCACAGAAGAAATCATAATTGTCAGTTTATCTAAGATATTTAATCGTCTACCTCCACAATCCTCACTTTATATTTCATCTTATTTTATAAACGTTTCTAATATTTTTATTACTTCATCACTGTAGATCATGGTTATGTCAGATGGAACATCAGTTGCTTCAGGGCAAAGTCTTCATCTCCCTAATCTTCCCACTAATTCCCTGTCTTTTTCTGAAGTGAAGAAAAAATCATCTCATGGGCCAAAGGTAAGATGTTGCCTATGGTTAGAAATTGGAATATGTTTTGAGCAGCTGTTTTTGAATGTTGAATGATCAATAAGCCAAGAATTAATTAGTTAAATGCTTCAACCTTTTCAGCAAACCCATAACAATTAAAAAAATAGACATAATCTGAATATTTAGAGTTAAATTTTTTATATTTAACTCTAAATTAAACTAAACTCCTGAAATTTTTATAAATATATGCATTACCCTTATTTATTTTGCTATTCAAATTTAAATGTACTTCATACAATTACCCACTTTTTGTCCTGACATCTAAATTCTAGAGTTGACACAGCCTGTTGAGAAATAAATTAGTAGAAATAAAACATGTATTGATTAGGGATATAAACCTATTGGAAGTTTCATCAGCAAATCACATGTTATGGTAGGACTATATTCTCTTGATCCTTTGTATTTATCAGTCCCCAAATCTGGTCTGGATTTATCATATGTTTTGGTTGCAAGAAAGAGGAATGCAAAGTAAGTTCCCACTGTCCAAATAGAAATGATTCCTATGTTGCCATGGTTCAGTTTTAGGCCACACCCTAATATGTATTAACCAAAGGCTATTTAAATGTTCAAAACTATGTGCTTGTGAATTAAATGAAGTTACCACAGATTTAAAAGTTTTTTCAAACTTAAAAGTTTATGTCGATACCTAAATAAAATCTACAGAATCTTTGAGTATTCGACCATGTAACCACATCCTACCACAAATTCAAATAATTTTAATTGGGGTAGGGGAGTAATAACTCAGTTCAAATCTTTAAAATAATGACTTAAATGCAGTTTAAATTAAGTCCAAATACACATGGTACTTTGGTGTCTCAGGAAAATATAGGGAGCAGGATTTGTTTGGGAAAGTGTGTGGCAGGGAGATAGATTTGCAAGCTAATATACAGTTGTGAAATGAATCTTAAAAAGTGTTGGAAAGATCTAAGATAAACTGTGAATGTTTGCCTCCTGCTGCTAAATAGTCTTTCACAGAAAAAAAGTACCACAAAATCCAATGTGAAAGTAGCGGTGGCACCAATTTGGAGAGGAAATTCCCCTCTAGAAATAGAAACTTTCTTTAGTTTTTTCCACCACCTCCTTCATGCAAACATACAACAGCTTAGACCTTTGAACTAAGGGGTGGCTAAGTCAATATAAGGGGTGCAATGGCTCAACAGACACTGAGCTTGTCAGCTGGAAGGCTGACAGCCCGGGTTCAAGATCTGAGTGCCACATGAGTTCCCATTACTTGCTCCAGCTCCTGCCCACCTAGCAGTTTGAAATCATGAAAATGCAAGTAAATAAATAGGTAACAGTGTTCCATGCGTCACGGCATATAGTCATGCTAGTCACATGACCACAGAAATGTCTTCAGACAACATTGGCTCCCTTGGCTAAGAAACGGAGATGAGCACCGCCTCTAGAGTCATACTCAACTAGACTATGGAAACCTTTACCTTAAGGCTGTATGAGAGGAAAATATTGATCAGTAGTCTCCAAGAATCTTTTCTTACTGGAACCATCACAATATCTGTGAAAGCAATGGTTTGCAACTTCTCCCTCTTGGCTTATAGCCTCTCTCTAGCTTTTCTTTAAAAGGTTGGGAGAAAAGATCATAACTTTGGAGCTCTGGGGCATTCTTTTCTGCTTGACTAAGAAGGTAAAAAGATGCATACTCCCTTCAGTAATTGCCAGTGTAGATGTTATAGTTATAGATTAGCAACAAAAGAAACAAAGGCTGGAGCAAACTTTGATTGGCTTTAGCACACCAAAACAGAGAAATATTCCTGGAAGGATAATGACATTGCTGGGGAATCTGAAAAGAAATATTATTATTTAAAAAGCACCAACCTTATTTGATTGAACCATTTAGAGGTGAACTCTTCTCTTGATTACATTAGCACATTGTCAAGAATACTGGTAATACTAGCCAGAGGTGGATATAATGCCTGTCACACACAGATATTCAGATAATTACCCAGACTAAAGTCCTGGATCATTATTTTGTTTTCCAGAAAGTACATTTTATCATTTCTTAAGTAATTAAGACCACACAAAACATTTCTTGGCTTCTAGAGTCGGTGATCAACTTTTAACTAACTCATTATGGGGAGTTACTTCTTAAACTCCAGATCTCTTTCTTAGTTCCAATACTTGGGACATGAAGGTACCATATTTTTTGGACTATAAGACGCATTCCCCCCCCCCAAAAAGTGGGTGGAAATGTATGTGCGTCTTATAGACCGAATACAGTCCTGTTTTTGGCCTCCCAAAACCCCCTGCGCGTCCTGTTTTTGCCAAAAGAGGGTTTGGGAGGCCTGCAGAGTGCTCCTGAGGGCCAGGGAGGGCAAAAACTGGATGCGCAGAGGCCAAAAACTATTTTTTCCTGTTTTCCTCTTTGAAATCTAGGTGCATCCTATACTCCATTGCGTCTTATAGTCCGAAATATACGGTTGTTGTTATAGGAGCATTTCCACATGTTGTTAATTCACAGAAGATAAGCTTTTAGAAAGAAAGTCTGTGTTCACATTTATTTATAAGAATTTTATATTTCAGTTCTAAGAATACTTCTAGTTATTTGTTGCCTTTTATCTTCGCTTTCCTTAGGTGGCATACCCAGTAATTCCCATACTCCCATTTTATTGCAAGAATAATCCTATGAAGAGGATTGCATTATGAAATAGTGACTGGTTCAATATTTATTAAGCTATATATTTAGCTTGCTTGGGTTTTCACTGGCTTAACACGGTATGTGAATCTAACCAGAGTCTTGGCCAAGTCACTCAGTTTGCTCAGATTGAGAAAAAGTAGACCTTGCTATTATTATTATTATGAGAGAATGCATATAAAAAATTAAAGTGAAATACCTATGCTTGGAGCACCTGGGAGCAGTTTCAGAAATAGTCATGACCAGCTCTTTAATGATTCAGTTCATGTTACTATATGCATATTCCCTTAAAATACAAAATATCTCTTTTGAAGACTTTTCATAATCATAGTGTATTTGTGTGTACTTAAAAAAACAAAAATCACTAAAAGCTAAGTGAAATAAAATTGTTCCAAGATAATTCTGCAAGTGAGGTGCTAACACACATAAAAAACAAGGATGTCCTATTTTTCATTCTTACTGATTTAGCATCTAGGTTTATATGGGAGTGGGATATATTTACATATTTATATCAATCTCTCAAGTATAGCTATGCAAGAGAAATATTTGAGGAGAAATATGAAGGGGAAAGGAGGGAGGAAGTTTGTTTTTGTGCACGCAAATACTTTAATTGAATTTACAATTTTAAATATTTTTCAAAATTGCTAAGAATTCAAGTTAGTGAGAAAATTACAGTACAACAGAAGACAATTCATGGTCAACACAAAATTTATAAAGACCACAAAGGTTGTCAAGCTCTTATCACTAATCATTGTATTATTGCTTAATATAATTCAGAATTTTAATTTCAGATTTTGAGTATTGAAATAGGAGATAAGAATTACATCATGCCGTTTAACAATAGTCTTATGGTTACCTTGCGGTGATGATAGAAATGGCTTCCAGATATCACAGATGGGCATATTAGTGGAATATGTTCATGGCAGTCACGGCAACTGTTAGGGAGGGAAGGTGAAGCACAGGGAAGATCAGAACCGGGTAGGTAAGTAAGATATTCCACTCTGTGAGCTGTAGAGAGGAAAGAGGGACAACATGCTCTTCCATGCTCTACTCATCTCGCAAGGATCTCTCCGGAACAGTGAAAACCAAAGCATCTGTTTTGTTGAACTATGGCCAGCCAAAATGGTTTGGCAGATCTTCCAGAATATGATCGTTTGTTCTGGATTGGAAACAAAATGTAATCTTCTTTTCATATGCAAAACATATTTTTTGTCCTGCACAATTATGAAACAGGTTACAATTTTCTCCTCATGGTTTACTGCTTTTTCTGACCCATTTGCAAGATTTCGAGAATTGGTCATAATGGAAGGAAGTGTATTTTATAAACATTAATTATCATTTCTAAAGTGGTTCAACTAAGCCTGCTGAATGGTGCTTTTTGCAATACCAAATGTGCAGCTTGGTATTATAAGTGTAAATTATGCATAATTAAATCTAACATGGAGTTTTTTGACTCACTAAATTATTTTATAAGAATTGTTTTCTTACTCTACCCACACTTCTATTCTTCTGTTTTCATTTAAGTGTAATTTTTCTTCTACAGTCTACCATAAGATACACTTCAGCTGTTGAACTTTAAAGATGAGGTTGTAGTCACTGCATGTCAAACTGAGGGTGGAACATTCTGCAGCTTTAGGTGGAAGCAAGTTCTTGATTAAGCTACATTATAAGTAAATATAGTTACAGGTAGTCCTTGACTTATGACCATTTGTTTGACAACATTTCAAAGTTACAATGGTCTGGGGAAAAAATGACTTACAACCCATCCTTGAAAATATAACCATCGCACCATCCCTGTGGTCAAATGATCGTAATTTGGGCACTTGGCAACTGGCTTGCATTTACAATGGTTGCATTTTCTTGCAGTCACATGATTGAAATTTGTAATCTTCCCAGATGGCTTCCAACAAGCAAAATCAATTGGGAAAGCCAGATTTCCTTAAAGATTTCATGATTCTCTTAACAACATGTAGTTTGGCTTAATAACTGGAAAAAAGGTTGTGAAATCAGGTCCACTCACATGACGACTCACTTAACAACCACATTAGTTAGTGAATGAAATTCCAATCCCTATTGTGGCCATACATCCAGGTTTAAATGTAACCACTGGAAGCTATATATTGATTGAATTTACACAGGCTTGCTTTGAGCAATGTTCTTAGCTATAAATCATAGCTATGCCAAACCAAAATAGGTTATTATGTTTCGATATATTTCCCTTTTTTTCAGAGATCTGTTGCTAATTCTATGGTAGTGGTGCTGTTTCATCCTAAAGTTTTAATTTCAGCATTAGAAAATTCTATTTCAAAGTTACATGAACTCACAACACAGAAACTACCAAGCTGCATGTGATTTTATTAGTTTTCCAAGATGAAACTATGAATACATTTTATGTGATTCAATTCAGTTTTGTTAACTTTGGCCTTTTCCAGTTTAGCTGGGAATTTTAGGAACAGAAGTTTAAACATCTGGAGAGCTTCAGGTTGGGAAAAGCTTTTCTACATCGATAGGCAGGAACTCTCCAAGGTCCTGTATAAATTTCTAAAAATGTTTTGGTTAGAGCATGGGTGTCCAACTTTGGCAATTTTAAGACCTATGGACTTCAACTCCTAGAATTCCCCAGCCAGCATAGTCTTAGTTGCTAAGGTTGAACACCCCTTGGTTAAAAATTCTCTAAATTAAAACTTAGGCTTGTTCCAAAATCATAGTTTCATAGATCATCAGGGCCATACCAGCATATTTCATTACTTTTTTAGTAATTCCATCCAGCTTACTCACTTTTACCAAGTTGTGGTAATTCTGTTTTATCTCAGCATGGTTAATACTCTTACATGATAATAGTGTTTCATATAAAGCAACAATGAATATTCTTAACAAATTTTTAAATGTTTTGCTCAGAATAGAGAATAACCATCCTCATAGTACTTAGTCATTTACTACCCAGCAGATGCTTTCATGTGTAAACAATTTTAGAAGTCTTTAATGTACCGTAGAATACCTGTAGCATCTCACAAAAATGTCTTTTGATACCTCTTCACAAAATATGTAAATCATGACTGTCGTCAACTTGCAACCATTCATTTAACGACTGTTCAAAGTTACAATAAAACTCCCTTTTTACGACCCTGTAATCCCTTAATTCAGTGTAGTTTGGGGTGAGTGGATGGAGCTGAGAGTTTACTGGCCTGATTTTTTCTTTGTCCCCTAACCGGCAGAAAACTCTATTGGTAACTAGGATTCAATTCTCAAATCTTCCAAGGTGAGCATCTTCATCACTAGACCATCACGCTGCTCACTGTTCAAAGTTACAAAGCACTGAAAAAAGTGACTTATGACCATTTTTCACATTTACAATCATTGCAGGATCCCCATGGTCATGTGATCAAAATTTGACTGCTTGGCAACTAATTCCTATTTCTGATGATTGCAGTGTCCCGGGGTTATGTGATCACCTTTTGTGACCTTCTGACAAGCAAAGTCAATAGGGAAGCCAGATTCACTTAACCACTGTGTTACCAGCTTAACAACTGCAGTGATTCACTTACCAAGTGTGGTAGTAAAATGGAGCAGAATTCACTTAACACCTTAGCAAGAGAAATTTTGGGCTTGATTATGGTTGTAAATCGAGGATTACCTGTACACAGTACATTGAAATTTTATTTGTTGTGATTTAAGCAAAGAAATAGTCCATTAGACCGTATACGGTAGACAACAATTGCAAGTTTGTTATTGATCTATAATGTAAATTTATACATTAATCTATTAATGTAAGTAAAGTTTGCAGAGAAGCAACTTATGGTAGGTGTTTCTGAAACACAGAAGACGAGAGCGAAGTGTTAACTTTTTACTTTCCATTGTTGCAGGAGCTGAGCAAGAGTATAAACACTAGTAGCAGCAGCAGTAGTAGTAACAGTTTTTCAAAGCCCCATAAATTATCAAAGGAGCACAAGGAAAAATCTTCAAAAGACTCAAAAGAACATAAAAGTGCCTTCAAAGAACCTTCCAGGGAACACAACAAATCTTCCAAAGAATCCTCTAAAAAACCCAAAGAAAACAAACCACTAAAGGATGAAAAAATTGTTCCTAAGATGGCCTTCAAAGAGCCCAAACCTATGTCAAAGGAGCCAAAATCAGAAAATAACATACTGACCATAAGTGGTGGACAGCAACAAGAAAAGAAGGCTGCTTCCAAAAGGCCTCCTGGTCTGGATTCTGAGGACTTTGCAGCCAAAAAGAAGAAGAAAAGTGGATCTGAGGCTTTATTTAAAAGTTTTTCTAATGCTCCCCCACTGATACTTACCTGCTCCAGTGTGGAGAAAAAACAGACAAAAGATAAATCTCAGTTTAAAATTGGGAAAGTTAAAATGGAAACTGAGCCCCTGGAGAAAAAGAAAAATACATTGCCACCTTTCGATGATATTGTGGACCCTAATGATTCTGATATGGAGGAGAATGTGTCTTCAAAATCAGAAGTAAGAGTTTGTGTTTATTCTTATTTTGTTGTCCGATTACAGGCTTTCATTTGTTTACCTAATTTTTAAAAAGTCTTTATCATCCATGTATGCATATATATGTATATTGAATGGATTCCATTTGTATCATTAGATAAAATGCGTAGTTTCATTTTACAGATGATTTTGGTAATTGGTTTATTCCAGGGAATTGATTCATGATTGTTCTTTATTAATCAAATAGGAAGTCAACAAGGCTTTTTCAGTGGTTGCAGGAAATAAATATTTATGCTTTTTGAGTAGGACTGACTTGCTTGAGCTTATTTATTTGTTTATTTGTCTGTCTGTCTATCTATCTATCTATCTATCTATCTATCTATCTATCTATCTATCTTGTGCTGTGCTGTGCTGTGCTGTGCTGTGCTGTGCTATGTTATGCAAAGTCAATAGAGGAGATATATATGCAAGCAGGGTCAATAAGAGCCCTGGTGGCGCAGCAGACTAAAGCACTGTTATTAACATCAGCTGCCTGCAATTACTGCAAGTTCAAATCTCACCAGGCTCAAGGTTGACTCAGCCTTCCATCCTTTCTAAGGTAGGTAAAATGAGGACCCAGACTGTGGGGGCAATAAGCTGACTTTATATAAAATATACAAAAGTATGAAGGCTATTGCTTAACGCATTGTAAGCCGCCCTGAGTCTCCCTGCTTGCATTTTTATGTTCAAGATGATATTGAATCACAGTGTTACTTCAAGACTGATTAACCAAGGTATACTCATCTCTTTCCATTTCATTTTAATAATTAATTTGAGCTGTCTCCACTGCTTTATAATATAATACTTTATAGTGGCTTTCACAGTTTTGAAAACATGCTTATATTCTTAGTTATAATTCCGTTCATAAGCTTGATGAGGATTAGTGAGTGATGGAAGCACATTTATGAACAAGATAAATTCATACATTAAAAGCTGAAATTTAGAAATGGGAAGTTTTTCAATTTGTAATATTTCTGTTTTTGTAATATAGGACTACATCCTTGAAATGAATAGGGAAAGATGGAGTATTTGTTTTTAATTGCCTCTCTGCTATTTCAAAATCTAACAGTTACGTGAGAGAGATTTTTGGGTTTGAAGCCATGAGCCATGTTGTTGTTAAAATAAAGTGATGAAATACATTGAATAGGGTGAGTTATTACTATACGGAAATCCTCCACTGCAGATCAAGTTTAGATATCTTTGTTATTACCCTGTTTCTCCCAGAATAAGGCATCCCCTGATAATAAGCCCAATCAGTGAATCCTGTGATTGATATCATTCTAGTCAGTAGAACGGTTGGGAAAGGCTGGACAACTACTTTGCGCTGTTGCAGCACTGTAGTTATCCAAGCACTGAAAGACAGAAATGAGTATATCTGCTAAGATAAAGAGAAAAACCAGCCTAAGGAGAAGTGAATATATGCAAATTTCTCAAAATTGTAATATTGGAACTTGGAACTTTAGGTATTAGATAAGAATTGCCTTTGGCTATCAGAAATATGTCAGTTCTGGCAGTTGTTTGATGCTTGCTGGAATGAGATGCCTGCTTAATATGAATTCTATATTCAGTAATGAGCACAACACTTCCAACTGAAATTTTAATTTTCAATTAAAATATATTGTTGGTTTCACAGAAAATTCATAACAATAATATACTGCTCAAAAAAATAAAGGGAATACAAGCAGAAGACATCCAAGATCTGAATGAATGAAATAGCCTTATTAAATACTTTGTTCGTTACATACAGTAGTTTATACACTGCTCAAACAACTAAAGGGAACACAAAACTACTGTATGTAACAAACAAAGTATTTAATAAGGCTATTTCATTCATTAGATCTCGGATGTCTTCTGCTTGTGTTCCCTTTATTTTTTTTCATCACACCAGTGATGAAATCCGAACCGGTTTGCTACCGATTCACTGGCCGTGCATGCATACTGCGCGCCAAATGTACTCTGCGTGTGCATGCACAGTGCACACCAAAGCGTGCTCTGCAAAAGCATGCACAGTATGCGCCAAAAGGAGGCTTGGGAAAGTAAGTAGAACAGCGAGGGGGGGGATCAGTTGTGGTGCGCGATTTAGCTTTGCTAGAAAGCAGGATTTCCTGCTCTTTAGCAAAGCTAAACCCCACTGCACAGCTGATCATCGGAAATACTAGTTCAGAGGAACTGGTAGCTTTTTAAACTGCTGGTTCGCCTGAACCAGTAGCATTTTTTTTACTACCGGTTCACCTGAATTGGTAGTTTTTATCACTACCGGTTCTCCCGAACCGGAGCGAACCGGTAGCATTTCATCCCTGATACACACACACACATACACACATATCATCATATATCCTGTTTTCCCCAAAATAAGACATCCCCTGATAATAAGCCCAATCGGGCTTTTGAGCGCATGACAGTAAGGCCAAGCGCTATTTCAGGGTTCAAAAAAATATAAGACAGGGGAAACACGGTATATACATATACATAGAAACACACATTTTCTTTATGACAGCCATGATAGAAACAAATTTAAAAAAGAGATAAGAGAAGGAATGATAAAGGAACACTCTGCCTTTGTCTCTATGTTAAATCCTGCTTTATTGGAAAAGAGGGAAAAAATACATAATGCTATATCTTCATACTGTTAAGTTTATTAAACATAGTTTCATGTCAGGCTGCTCTGTTAGGACTTTGTGTTTGCTGTGCAGATATGATATACAAAAATACTTTGGCGTACTGATATATATGAATCAGCAAATAAGAAAACTCTGGGCATGCTCCGTGCTTTCATAAGCATATATCCTGTATATATTTCTATTTGCCACAGGAATTACTTTTGTTGGAAATATAGAAATAGAAATAGTTTTAAGTAATTGTAATTGTATTTATAATCATATTTACATTTTAAAAATCCGAATAAGTTCAGTGAGTTTATTCAAAGTTTACAGATCTAATGTCTTACAAGCAGGTTTTCCCTTGTGTAATAAAAGCTTATCTTGCTATCGTCTTTCTGGCACATACTAGTGCAGTGCCTCAGATGTGCGGTATGCCAGAGAATTTTCATAACTTCTAGAGCTGCTTTCAAGTATGAATACTAAAAAGAAAATTAATGTGATACTTTACTAGCCCTATTATTGAATGCTGTAGATGAAAGTGGATACAGTCCCAAAATGTTTGAAAACCAATAGAATACAGGTCTTATGTTAATTACCTTAACACTTAGTAATGTTAGGAGCTTTAATCATGCCTGGACTTTTCTTTAAAATTATTTTCTGTTTTACTTCCCAATCAGTACAATCTATTAAATAAAACATTTTGTGGAAAAGAAAGTTGTGCTTCCAATAGCTTAATAAGTTATCTATAATAGTACATTTTAAACAATGGAAGTAAATTAAATATTCCCAAGATATAAAGAAGTCAATAAAAAGATTATTATTAGGAATAAAGATTTCAGTAAAATATTAATTTCTTCAATATTAATTCCCATTTTCATTTCATTACTTAATCCTATCTTTTTTGTTCATATTTTGAAATGTCCCAAGCAATAAGTAGCTCAACAAAGAGAAATAATCCTTAGTCCTTTTCTGATTTTTTTCTTGATTTAAAATGTTTCTATATTGCTTCCAGTTAAAAAAAAGAATCTCAAAGCAGTTTGAAATTTAAAATTGCAGCTAAATATTAAAATCATACATTAAAATATTTTAAAACTTTTAAAATTTTGCAATAGAAAAATGAAAAATAAAATAAAACTAAATAGTGATGGAAATTTCTTGTAGGCAGGTATATTATTTTTAAGGTAGGTTTTGTTTGTTTTTAGATAGACAAAGTATGAAAACAAAAACATTTTTATAATGTTCTAACCGTGCTACAGTTGTGACCAAAATTATATTTCTGTTCTATTCCCCTCTTTTTTCTCAGTCTCTCTCCCCTCCTCAAATAAGTTGTTGATAAGAACACACAAGATGGTGAAGGCAAAATGATTTACATTTCCCTGTTAAAATTAATTTAAAATACCATATTGAGAAAAATATAGGAGTTAAAGTAAATATAATTTCAACTATAAATTCCTTTTTAGATCTAAAAAATGATTACTCAACCTTTTGGCTTTCTTGGGCCTCATTGAGTGAAGAGGAATTGTCTTGGCCTGCACGTATAATATATAATATAGTTAATGTATATAAATAACAAACATCCTTTTATATATATATATATTTATTGTCTTGTGAGGCTGCATAACTAGCTGTCCAGGGCTGCATGTGGTGTGTAGGCCATAGGTTGGACATGCCTGATCTAAAAGATTTATTTATAGATGATCTGTACTCAATATTTTTTAGAAGGTACAGTATGTGAATATGACTAGTTGATTCCTTCATTTCTCTTTAGAGATGTCAGTCATTGTCATTGTTGTTGAATGATTGACCTAAAATAGCTACAAGCATCTGTGATTCCTCAGTTATAAAACTAGTGAGTTAGTGTGACTTTTGAGTATAGACCATAGAATATGCAATCATTACTCTAATTGAAAGTGTAAAAACAGGCTTGTTTTTAATTTGTGGATTTTTTTCCCGACAGTTTATAATATATAATTGTTCTATAATGTAGGGGTAAAAAATTTGCAAAAACAAGGAAAACAAAGTGATATTATGAATACCTTCAGTACTTTTTTAACATTTGTGATATTGGAATGTTTGTTTTAAATGTTTAGGTGCATTTTACAGCACTGCAATATGCTGTGATTTTACTTTAGAACTGTAATGTTTAAAATTTTGCTCATGTGTATTAATGGGCAAAAAAGCATTAATATGCAAGTTAGTTTTAATCTTAAGTGTGACCATTGCTCCATTTTTAAAAATACCTCTTTTTAAAACTTTAAACATGAAAGGATCCACTGCCAGGTGAATACCAAGAACGTCAGTTAATGTTAAAGTTCCAATATCAAATTGTATGAGGTAGCAAAGTACTTCAGAAGCTTTTATATAATCAGCCTGTTCTAAATCCCA